CAGAGGACCTTTACAATTGGACGAATCCCCTATTGTAAAGCCTTTTGCTTTGAGGGCCAGAATCTCGCTCCATAACCTTTTTGAATCACCAACATAACTTCAAAAATTGTCACTTTCCATTTAAATGGCAAGAAAGCTGTCAGGACATAAACCCTACAGAGAGGGAATGTATTGATTTCAATGATCACCTTTAATCCACACCTTTCCTCTTTATAACGTGTGGTTTTCTTCTCTTAATTAGAAAGAGCCAGGGATTATCTGCACAAAACTGGAAGGTTTATTGTGATTGGTGGGATCGTCTCTCCTGTCCACGACTCCTATGGAAAACAGGTGGGTTCCTCCTTCACCCTCTCTAACCTGATGGCTCCTCTGGCTGCCCCTGCTGCCATCTCCACTTCACTCCCTGGAAACACAAGATGCCCGAGAGCTGGCGTCCTGCTCCCATCTCTGAACCACAGTCAGACCTGGGCGGGTGGGGGCCGGGCGGCAGCTGGCAGGAACAGCTGCCCGTGACCGCGGCTGCGCGCAGCTCCAGGCCCCATCGGCACTCATTAGCAGCAGAGCCGGCACACCCGCTGGGGGCCAAGAGTGACTTGGCATGGAAGCCACCCTGGCAGCTGGTGATGGGCTGGGCAAGTCTTTCCCAGATTTTAGGAGGAAAAGACCTATCTCTGCCTCTTACACTCTGGTTTAAAATTCCTTTCCTTGTCGCTCCCTCCTTGCCTCATGTCTGGGAAAATCTAGGGGTCCTCCCGGCATTTCCATCCCCCTCCTTCCCCAGATACACCTCACACCTCTGGGGAGGTCACCCAACCAGCCAGCTTGAGCCCAGAGACAAGGCAACGTTTGCCTGGTTAAGTCTCGTCCCTGTGCCGGGCACAAGTTGGCCACTTCATCGGAGAGGTCCACCTACTGACCCTGTCGGGAGTGATGTACTCCCACGCCCTCCATTCCTTTTCTTTTCCCTCCGCCCCTCCCTGTGTGTCTCTGTGGCAGATGGACTTGCAGGGCGGCCACACCCTCCTTCCCTGTCACCACTGACAAATGGCTGCCCTTGAATAACCGGGCGGCTAGGGATGGCGTCTCAAGGGCGGCTGTGGGGAGTGGAGCCAGCCTCCTGGTGATTGCTCTGTTGCTCCCCAGGGCCTTGTGTCAAGCCGACACCGTCTCATCATGTGTCAGCTGGCCGTCCAGAATTCCGACTGGATCAGGTAGGGCTGGCCTGGTGTGTGTGGATCAAGTGGGTGGCCCTGGGCCTCACTGGGGGTGAGTGCAGGAGGAGGAGGAGGCGTCCTCTCAGCCATTTGGATCCCACAGGGGTGGGGAGGCCAGCCCAGACGTTAGCCACTGTGGAGGGAATAATTATACTGACCTTCAGAGGTGGCCCAACTGAGAGCTCTATCTTTTAACCAAGCCATAACGCCCACCAAACTGAAGAGGGAAGCTTCAGTGTTGATTCTGCCCCTGGACTTTTGGATCCAGTATTCCTGAAGCATCATTGGATTTAGGGTGAGGCCTGGCCAGGAAATCCGAAAGGCCTCTCCACTTTCCTCCCCAGTTGCTTCCTGCGAACTCTACCTTTTAAGGGAATATTCCCTGGCCCTGGCTATTTCCCCTTCCAGGACTCTGGCTCCCTAGGGCTCCAGGCTGACCGTGGCACAGAGGCACTGCAAGCGAGCACTCAAGGCCTTTCCCTCATACTCTGGGCACAGTCCTCACTGAGATGGCAGACACCATTATCTGCACGGCTTGCCTTGTAATTAAAGCGAGGCTCCTCCACTAGTTATGCTAATTACGCTCCCCAAAGTTCCTACGGTTATCATTTGCATGAGAAAATGGCGTTTAAAAAAAATAATGGCGCACCATTTGTACCGTAATATCTCCCCCTGGAAAAAATAAGCAGCACCTAGAGGTTTCCGTGAAAGGAGGGAAACGAAGAAAAGCTGACCTCAGAATGAGACGGAAGAGACGGCCTGGGCGGGAAGGAGAGCAGCGAAGTGAAAATTAAATAGTGATCCTCACCATTTGTGTGCAGTGATTTGTGTAAGAAACCCTTGCCCTTTACAGACTATCTCATCCCCTGAAGATGTAGGTTGGGTCGAGAGACAGCTGCCTTCTCTCTGATGAGAGACATGCCCGGAGAAGTCGAGGGGTTTGAGCATGTACAACACATCTGTGGTCAAGTTAGGGATAGAAGCGAGGCCTTTACACATTCTGGCTCCCGATCTTCTGGGGAAAGCGGGGTCCAGGGGGGAAATACTGGGCAGGAGGTCTATCCTGATTGGATGTGATTAGAAGATCCTGAAATAATTGCTTCATTCATTCATCGAATGTTCACCCAGCACTTCCCACCTGCACTGCTCTAGGCAATTGGGAGAAGGCAGAATTCTAAGAACTGAGATCACTAGCAAGGCTCAGGTAGCTCTAGAGATAAGGGCTGAGCCCCAGGACTTGGCCAGTATGGTGTCTGCCTGTCTCAGGGGAGGCGGTGGTTAGGGGTATGGGGAGCCTGACACACAGGCTGACTCTCAGGGGTTTTTGGTTAGGGAGATCTTACCCCTGGGAAGCTTAGGTGCATGTGCATGGTGGGAGGTGGGCAGGGAATGCTCAACTGCTTAGGAAATGTTTGAGAAATATCCCAATTTACCAGTTCATTAAGTTGGCAATTAAGCCCGAGTGCTGCATCAGTCTGGGGCTGGATCCCTGCTCATTTCACATCTGCGTGTACAGGAGGGGTGGACCAGCACGCGGGTCTGCACCTCTCAGTCTGACTGATATACCCCCCCCATGCCACAAGGCCCCCCACCTGCACAGGGAGGCAGACAGGGGCCGATTCCCCAAGTCAGATATCTGCAGCCACCACTCAACAAGGGCCTGGCTTTTAATCCTGATCACAATCCTAGAAGGCCCAGAGGAGAATTTCCATCTCGTGGGCAAGCACAAGAGACTCTATATATAAAACTCATTGGGCCCTTCCAATAACCCCACAAGAGAGTTACCGTAGTTATTTTACAGGTGGGGAAAGTGAGAACCCAAAGACAACGTAACTTTCCCAAAGCCCCATACTCCTCTGGTTTTATAGAGGGGGCAGCTGGGGGGTAGAAAGGTGTTTCAAGCCCACGTTTGTTCTGATTTGGGATCTAAGTACATGGTGTGAGCAGGTTTGCTAAGTGCTCTGAGCTATACAGTCTCTGGAAGGAACTACTAAAGAAAAAGTGTTGAGAATGGAAACCCAGGGAAACCTGTTTCTGGTCATGTCAGGGTGGACCCGTGGGAGTGCTATCAGGACACCTGGCAGACAACCTGCAGTGTGCTGGAACATCATCGGGACCTCATGAAGGTGAGCTGGGCTGCGGCTGAGGGGCGGGTGGCCCCCAGAAGCCGGGCGGGCCGGTAAGGGTGCTGCTGCTGGCCTACTGACCTGGTTCAGTTTCCTGCTTCCCAGACAGCTGTGTGGGAAACCAAGCCCCGGGCAGCAGGAAGGAGGGCAGTGAACTCGAACCCAAGCAGCTCCAGAGCCTGTTCCCCTGTCTTGCTTCCTCTGCTCAGTATGACTCGGGGCGATGTTCACCTTCCAACAGCAAATCCAAGGTGGGATTAAGGAGACCCCCGTGGGAGGATTTCAAGGCAGACAATGTCCTGATCCGTGTTATATTAGTGGATAAAAAAGGAAGCACAGAGAGGTGAGCCAACCTGTCTGAGGACACACAGCCACTGCTCAGTGGCTTGTGCCCAGGTTGTAGTGACTGAAGAACTGCTTGCCAGGTTAGAACGAGTCCCACACCAGTCAGCAGCACTGGCCAGAATATGTAGAAAGCACCCTTCCCAGATCAATACCAGCCCATCGACTTCCACAGTAACGGATGTAGAGCTGTGCCATCCATAGGAGGAGGCCCGACCGACCGAGACAAGATGCAGTGGACCCTACTCACCTCCACTGGCATGGCCACCATGCCTTCCCCAGCCCGAAATGGCAGTCCAGATAGCATTGTTCTGACTCAGGGAGCACCTCTACCCACCTGTGTTTTCTGTCAGTGGGGCCAGAACCTTCTCCTTGGGGAGCCATCAGCAAGCCCCCATCTCCTCACACTCCACCAACCATGCAGCTGTGCTTCATGTTAATAGTGCTGGAGTTTAGGGCTCCCAAGAAGCCAGGGAGTCAGGAGTAAGAGGAGGAGGGAAAGGGCCTAGCTGACTGTTGCTTCATCTACTAGGTTTGTCCCTCTTGGAATTGAAGAAAACCCATTTTCCCTTCCTTCTGTTTTCAGAACCCTTCACACACATCCTGAGTCTTTTCCAGTCCCCTTGAAAGGATTCTGAGACAGGGTGGCCCTGACTTGACCCTCTGTGCTGGTCTCAACAACGGCAGGAAGAAAAGACATCCTGTCTTACTACATAAGGGTGTATCAGTCAGGATAGTCTAAGATATGCTGTAGTAACAAACATTCTTAAACACTTAGCAACTTCACATAAGTTTATTTCTCACACTACATGGCAGTGGGGGAGGGCGACAGCTGGGGGCCTGGGCTCCTTCTAGTCACATAGGAGCCTCAGGCTCCATGATGGAAAGGAGGAATCAGGGACCCTGCAGACATGCCTGAGACCTGGCTCTACCAGCCATGAAGCCTGGCTGCTATTTTGCTATCTAAATGCCTGGGCCTCCCAAAGCCTCCCTTTGTTACTCATGCCCAGAGGCAGGAGTCTGGGCCAGAGGAGCTCAGCCAGGAGTCCCAGCTGTTGCAGGGACGGGCACAGGCTGGCAGAGAATGTAAGTCCCTGTCTTGGAGCAGGAGCTGATAGCTCCCCATCTCTTCAGTTCTGGCGTCAGGCCATGCTCCTGTTGGAGAGACTACCACAGGGCACACTTCACAGGTGACTCAAGGCCGTGCTTGGAAAGGACCCTGAGGATCTGAGAGCCCACGGAGGGCCAATGAGGGCAGCACAGGGCATGTGGCTAGTCCTTTTCTTCTCTACCCAGAACAAGTCCATTGGGATTAATGGTGCAGTGCAGCGGGAGGAAGAAATTCTTCAGCTACCAGACCTGTTATTAAATGAGAATGTGGCCTTTTCTTTTCTGGAGCTGAAATAATACTAAAAAGGAAGCAGGCTGCCCCTTCCACTCCAGCAACCACCACTGGGCAGAGAATCCCACAAAACAGGCTGAGAAGACCGTGCTGTCCCGGCCTCAGCTGGCTCCCAGATGTGACTGGATGCTGCTGTGACCTCCTCCTGTCCGAAACACGACAGAAGTGACAGGTCACCCCTCAAAACAAATGTCAGCCCTTCTGGGGCTTGGAAGGATGCCGTGCTGCCCTGCTTGTGTGGAAGGGGTCCCTTCCGAGGGTTGCCACAACCGTGGGGCTTGGGGCTCTCTGGCCTCAGGACTCCATAATCCAGAACGAGTCATGGGCCGCGGGGTGGGATGCTGGCTTTCAGGGAAGGGACCTTGAATCAGCAATGGCCCTTGTGAAGCTAAATGGATTGAAAATCCATCCTTTGTTTCTCAGTTGCCCAGTGGCAGGCCTCCCACCCACCGTGGGGAGGGGGGGTTGCTTCTGGGTCAGCTGTGAAAAATGCTGCCTTATCAGCTCTCTGCTTTCTGCGGCACCAGAGGGAAGCAGCGGGCCAGATAACACAGGACAATGGATAATACACATAGAATTTCCGTTTGGCTCTGGAATGTGTATTCACACTGGCAGGCAAGCGCAAGAGTGCCCAGAACCCCACCCCCTCTTCCTGCAACACAAACACATCCTGCTCGGCCTGGCACCACTCTCTGGCTCTGCCCGACATTGGCATCTCTGGCCTGGAGAAGCGGCAGGTGGTGATAGTGCCTGGTGTTTGTATGACCTTTCCCAAACTCACACAGCCCTTTCGCAGACATGACCTCATTTGAGCCCCGTGAAGCAGGCAGGGAGGGCAGGTATGCACGTTACACAGAAGGTTACAACATCGGCCGTCATGTGGCAAATACTCTACCTCTACGGGCAAATGCTTTGCAAATGCCCACGTGTTAATCCTCCCACAACCCGGAAAGGCAGCTATGTGGCCTGTCCATGTTCAACGCCTGAGCTGAGGTTCAAGAGAAGTTAACTATCCAAGGTCACGTAGTGACAGAGGGGGCTCAACCTGAACCAGTGTCCATGCAACAGTACATTGCATGCTTTTGCAGCACTGAACTGTCCGGCCTCCTGCCAGCCTAGTGCAACCACGCAGTGGGGCCGTGTCTAGAACCCGCTCTTGCCACCACTGCGCTCTCCCTCAGCTCCGAGTGGCCTCCCCATGATAGATGAGCAGATGAGCATTGGGAGATAACTGGGAAATGCTTCTCATAAGTAACTTGGCTAATGACACTGACCTTGCACCTCTCCCTTTCCCCAGCGGGTGACTGGCTGCATCCTCTCCAATGTCAACACACCCTCCATGACGCCTGTGATCGGACAGCCCCAAAATGAGACCTCTCAGCCCATTTACCAGAACAGCAATGTGTCCACCAAGCCCACTGCAGGTAGGGCAACATGGATGTGGGGCCATGGTTCTCAAACTTCAGAATCACCTGGAGGGCTTGTTGAAGTCCAGGTTGCTAGTCCCTTCCCCAGAATTTGATTTAGGAGGTCTGGGAGGGAGCCGATAATCTGCATTTTTAACAAGGTGATACGGATGCCCTGGTCCTTAAAATAGAGCATCAGAGAGAAATAGTCACAATGAGAGAGAGACTGAGAGAGACAGGGTTGGTGGTGTGCATTTTTTCCCCTGCATTTAAATATAAATAGAATTCCTTTAACTGGGAATTAAAGATACAATAAGGCAGCATTTTTCTCTGCCTCTTCCAAGGGGGTTGAGGATCTTGCCCAAGGTCACACAGTGAGGAGGTGGTGGGACTAGGAGTCAAACCCAGGCATCTGCATTCAGCATCTCACACTCTTAGCCACCTTTTCAGTGACAGAAACGGCTTCAACATTTACTCAACACCTGTTACTGTAGGCCTGTACGATGTTCAGTACTTTCCACAGATTCTCATTTAGTGCAGTAATTCTGCGATATAGATATTATGTTCCCATTTATCAAGAGAAAACTGAGATTCAGAGAGGGTAAGGAGTTTGCCGAAGATCACACAGCTCAAAAAGTAAAAGAGCCAGAATTCATATTCAGGACTATCTGATTCCAAGGTCCCTGTTTTTTCTTTTTAAAAAAAAAATTTTTTTTTTCATGTCTTTATTTATTTCTGAGACAGAGAGAGACAGAGCATGAGCAGGAGAGAGAGAGGGAGACACAGAATACGAAGCAGGCTCCAGGCTCTGAGCTGTCAGCACAGAGCCCGACGCGGAGCTCAAACTCACGAACTGTGAGATCATGACCTGAGCTGAAGTCAGTTGCTTAACCGACTGAGCCACCCAGGCGCCCCGGTCCCTGTTTTTTCTAATATACACAAATATATATATATTTTACCAGACCAATTGTAAGAGACAGATCCTGGTATTACTTTTCAAGCCTAGAGGCCATAAGCTGTTATGTTATTAGTCTGTTATAAACAGGGTAGTCCATAAAGAGCCAGAATTACTTAGCTCTCATGTGGGGGCTCAGAAAAATTTTTTGGATTACAGCCCAGAGAGATCATCCAAAACCAGATCCCCCTCAGCCAAAGTGGGATGTCTGATTATTACAAAGTCTATCTTCATGGGAAGGCATGAAGGCCAAGGCTCATATTAAAAAATGAAAAAAGCCAATAGCCTCTATGCCTTTTAAATGCAGACTACAATCCAATTTATGCAAACATAGCTGCAGAATATATATATAAATATTTTTAATGGAGGAAAGGAAATACTATACCAACATGTCAGTGGTGTTATTTCCAGGGGTGGGGTTATGGGTGTTTTTTATCTTCCTCTTCTTATATTTTCCTCTTCTATATTTTCCAACTTTCAACATGAAATAATAAACATGAGCAGAAAAGAGATTCCAGTCTGTGGTTCAAAATGCCTGTGCCTTGGACTGCAAATGAGAAGGAATGTTTGCTGTCATATTTCTGTTCTTTGTCTCTACCCTCCTGCCTCCCACCGCTCAACCCCTGCCCCCTCCAGTGCAACCCCGGTGTTTAAGTGGCCCAAATGCTGGGCATAAGTTGTGAGTGGTTCTCTCCCTCTGTCCCTGTCTGTCTTGCTCTCTCCTATAGCCAAGATCTTGGGGAAGGTGGGAGAAAGTCTAAGCCGGATCTGCTGTGTCCGCCCACCAGTGGAGCGCTTCACCTTTGTGGGTAAGGGAGCAAAGACCTTTCCCGGTCCCGTCTCTTCTTGGTCCCCTCCCTTCATTCATTCAGCAAACATCGCCCTGCCTTGGGGTGACCATTTATAAAGCAGTGATGGAGAGAAAACAGTGGTAAACAGGAATGTCCCCAGGCCAGCAGTGCCAAGCAGTTAGGGGAACCCCAAGGGCGTGACCCACCTGCACTCGGGCTGCCGGGAGACCTCAGCAGTGATGTGTTCATTTCCCATCTCCCACACAGAATGAGGCCACATGCTGAAGAGTTTTCAGGGGCCCAGAGTCCTCCCTCAGGTCCTCCCAGTTCTGGCAGTGTCTGTGTTCCTGCTGATAGGCTACAAACACACATGCTCTTTCCTTAATTTTCTGCTTCTGGCTGTTCCCTCAAGGGCTCAGCAGGGATGAGAATATCTGAAGTCTGTGGGGCTCTTTCAGGGTCCCCCAGTTCAACTCTGCAGAGAGCTGAAGGTCCAGACCTCATTCCTTTGACTCTTTGGGGCTGATTTCTGCCATTTCTGAGATGTCCATTTTCTGGCATCTTGGAAAGGAACTAAGAGAGATGGAAGAGGAGGAAAGGAGACAGGGGACCAAGGTGGCACCTCTGTTGTTCAGTGCACACCCAGTGAACCCCCATGCAGGCATTGTACACTTAAGAGCACAGGTCAAAGTCTCTGTCTTTCTCATCTTCCATGGGTGTTTGCTGTATCTGTCACGTGACAAATCTCAACATACTCAGTTTTGCTTGTTCTTTGAACCAGGTAACCACCAAGGAGAGAGGGTCACCTCCTTGTGAGTCTAAAAGCGGTCTCCCTAGGCTTAGAGGACATTGCTTTTGTGGACTACCTCCCTAAAATACAGAAAGAAACAGAAGGCTCTCAGCATGAGTGTGTGTGTGTTCGTCATTGGCTTCCCAGAGAAGCTGTCTAATTCTTAAAGTCCCAGAGATGTGAACTCCTACCCTGGACCGTGAGGAGATGCTCCCTCTCCATATTAGGCTGGACATCTCTCCACTCACAGATGCCCCCTCCCCTGCCACCCCCATGCAGGGAGGCGATGACCCCCTACTCCCACCTACTCCATCCCATCCCACATACTCCTGAGTAGGCCCCCAGGCGGACCATGTGTTGGGTAGCATTAAGTCAGTTCCCTAATGCTTCTCTGTTCCCTCTTTCCTCCCTAGACGAGAATGCCAATCTGGGCACGGTGATGCGGTACGAGGAGATTGGTAAGTGTGGCTGGAAAAGCGGAAACACTTGGAGCTTCCTGCCTCAATTAGGGGCAGAGTGGGGAGGAGAGAGGCTTGACTCCCTGGGGTTCTGTTTGCAATAGGGTCTACTCTCCGAATGATTGTTCCAAGCTTGATCATTCTCTTCGTTATCTATCTGGCCAGCTCCCAGGAGGGAGGACTGAATGGCTGGTAATTTTCCCTTCCGAGCCTCTTCTCCCTCATCCAAAACATGTAGACCTTACTCTTCAGTGCCAGCCAAAGAGATCATTCTTTTGCCCACGACATTGCATGAGACAGAAGAGCTCCCCTGCCCTTCCTTATCTTCTTCCTTATTTTGTGAGCTTGGAGGACAAGGAAGAGAAGGAGTGGAGAGCCACCTCCACAACCTCCCCCCAGTCTTGGGTGGACACTAAGGCACCCACTGTCTGTGTGAGGGCGTGTGTGGGCCCAAGGCCAGAGCAGGTGGACGGTGGCTCCACTGAGCTGTCGGATGGGAAGGAGCTGACCCATCGGTGGGAATGAGCCGAGTCCTGTGTAACCCTGGGGAGCGAACCAGAAAACTGAATTCTTTCCAAGGTTCCAGAGTGGGTGAGAGACCCAAGTGTGTGAAGCTGAGGAAAGAACAGACAGATGCCAGGATGGAGCTGGTTTTGTCACAGTACCAGGTGACAGGGAGGGGCCAGTGACAACTGGAATGCTTGGGGCTCTAGCATGATGGGCAGCCTGGTGTCCAGCAGACATACTCGATCTTAAACTCCAGCTGCCAAGATACTCCAGGCCATCCCTTCCTGGTATTCCTGTGTCTAGGGCTGGAGGTCAGGTGTTCCTGCCATGGCCCCGGGAGCCTAAGACTGTGCCTAGAGCATCAGGTTCTCTTCCCGGAGGCCCAGCAGATGTGACATCATTTCCAGGGGCTCCTCGGGGTCACGTCCTCTGATCTGCAGAGCAGTGGCATACCTGAGTTAACTCCTACTGTTTTGTTAGAACCATTTCTAAGAGTTTCAGGACTTTGGCCAACTCGTTGTTAAATGCAGCCAATACCAAAGATTATATTAGGTAATGATTAAATAAACTGTATTAACAACAAAGATAGTGGCTACTCAAATCTCCTCACTTCTGAATTATTTTCTGCATTTTAATGTCCTTTATTTACTGGCACTTCACTGTCTTAAGGTCACACAAATCCCAAACACCCCTGACGGCAAGGATGAGAGCAAAGTCTTGCACTCCTACTTCCTGCATTTCCATACCTGGCAGGGAACTACCTTCCCGGGGAAGTCTTCCTGAGCGGCCAAGCTCAGAGCAGTCTTTAGACTTTCAACTGTGTTCAATGTATGTTTCTCTAGTTCCTTGTTCCAGAAAGAACTGATGGTGGCAAGCTTCAGCCGTGACCTTGTTCACTTTCCCAGCACCCAGGGCCAGTGTGTTAGGCCACACCTCTTGGGAGCTCCCCCTGCGGCAGAGGCCATGCTGATGGGTGTTTGCACAGTGTGTTGGTGTGGCCAGCACCCTCAAGTTCCTTACCTCACTGTAGCCTTGTCGGGGGCAGGGCTAGCCTCACCCCGTCTTACTCTTCTTTCCAAGAAAGAAAAGCTGGGTGGCCACAGCTGTCAGGATAGATTCACGGCCTGGTGTGATACAGGCGGCCATTGCCTCAGCCTGCAGGGAGCTGGAAAGGGCCCCAGGGCCTGGGCTTCACATAGCCAGGATTCCTGGGAAGGGAGGGTGGCAGGACAGTGCTGATTCTGCCTCCTGGCTCTGGATCCCTGGATGAGGATGAGCTGGGGGGCGGAAGGAAGGTGGAGAGGAGAGGAGGTGGAAGGGGAAGGAGGCTGCCTTACCTCCAGACTGCTGTACCGGGAGGCCCTGTGGCTCACGAGTCCCCTTTTTGAAATCCCCTTGCACCTCACAAGAAACAAAAAGCCACTTTCTCTTAGCTCAGGTAGCATGTAGGGCTACATTTCCATGTCCTGCTCCTGGGGGTGCCCCAGACCAAAGGCTTTGTGGGCTGGAAACGCTTACATTCATCTCACGCAATAAACCAGGAGAAATCGCTGCTGCCCCCCAGCGGCCATACGTGGGATCCCAAGCTCTGCTAAGGCCTCTGGTCTGTGACAAATGCGTCTGTTCCGGCCCTGCGAGAACAGGTGGAGGCCCCACTTTCTAACTGTCTGCACATTGGCTTAAAAAACAAAACAAAACATTATACTCCAGTGGAAAAGTGAGTTCCTGGCTTGGGAATAGAAAAGAGATTCATTTTCGTGGCTGTAGAGCAGGCCTTCTCAACTGAGGACCATTGACATTTGGAAACAAACAATTCTGTGTGGTGGGGGCTGCCATGTGCATTGTAGGGTGTTTGACGGCATTCCTGCCCTCTGAGCACCAGATCCCAGTAGCACACCCCTCTCCCCGGTCTTGACATCCAAAAATGTCTCCAGGCATTGCCAAGTTCAGGAGACAAAACTGCCCCCCACTGAGAACCACAGACGTGAAGAAAGGCAAGGGCCAGCACTTCCTCTAGATAATGCCACCTAACTGAAATTTTAGGCAATCAGAGTTATAGAGTCTCAGCTTCTTTCTCTTCCAACAAAGGACTGACCTGGAACTTGGTGGTTCCAGGTGGGAGATGGGGAACAATAGGATCCCAGGAATGAGCCCAGTCTTGCTCCTCTCAGCCATACGAAGGCTGGTTCATCTCCACAGATAGGGAGTTGGGTCAGAAATCCCACGGCATAACATGGAAGGAAGGAGACACCAGCGGCTGGGACAACACTTTCCCTAGGACCCCCATGCTGCAAAACAAAGGCCATAATTGTCAGCACAGCCATCAGTCTGCCCAGAGGCTCTTAGCAGCTTGCCTGCATGGCCTCTGTGGTCAGCCTGTCTATTGTTCACTTACTCAGTACATCCTGAGCACCTATCATGTGCAAGTCATTCTGGCAGGCCCTGGGGACATAAGATAAATTAAGGTCCCTGCACATAAGCAGATGATTGGGCTACAGGTTGACTTGGAGAAGAGAAGAGGAGAGGCTGCAGGAATATTTAGGAGTTAAGACCCCAGTGCTCCCAAGGGCTTCCTGAAGACGAGCTGCATGGTGGGTCAATGAGATACAGGCACTGTCATCAGCTCAGCAGCCTTCCTTTTTTGTACCATCTGGAGACTCCTGCAGTAGGGAAAAGTTCACCTTCTGAAAGTCCTTGTCAGGTCCCCGAGCAGACTGGGGGGTCTAAGGCAGGCAGACCTACCAGCCATCTCTCAGCGTCAAGGTCCAGGGAGGCAGTGGTCTGTGGAAGGCTCTGAGCAGGGCTGTCTCACTGTTTCGGACAAGGTGCCCACAGCCGTGGCCTCTTGTTGGAGGGCCCAGGATGCCTAGGAACTAAACACTCCACACCGAGGCACTCCCTGGCAGAGGTCTCTCCCTCCCTCAGTGGTTCTGAGAATCTCAGGATTCTTTGCTCCCCATTGCTCAGTGTCAGTAAGTCAGTCAGTTTGCTGCCTGTGTGGATGAGCCTTGCTGGGGTAATTCAGAGTGGGCTTTAGGAGGGGAGGCGAACAACAGAGAAGCAGGAAGTGCACCTGGGCCGGGGCAGGGCAGGGCACTCAAGCCCTTTGCTGAGGACAGTGGCCCTGTAAAGAGAGGACATCTGTAATTCAGCCACTGCATGGGTACACTCAGTGTTCCCTCAGACCCCCCATCATGTCGGCATTTGTGATGAAAGACAAACCCTGCATAATGCACAGCAGCAGAGAAGCCAAACTCAATGTTGACACTTGAGTTCGCTATGGAGTCCAAAGGGCCCTTCGACCTTAGATAAGGCACATACCTGGTTCCGTCTCTGTTAGGATGACCAGTCATCCTGGTTTAGCACAGAAAGACCCGTGTCTCCAGAAACCCTTCAGTACCAGGCAAACCAAGACCCTCCTTGAATGGGTAGTTCCTCCCACAGGGGACAAGAGTGGTCTGTAAATGAGCCCCGGGGGAGTGGCAGGCCAAGGTTTCTGCACTGCACACACCATGGTACCAGGGAGCCTGGAAGAGCCAGGTGTTGGAACCCCAGGAATTGGTGGCTTCTGTATTTCTCAGGGGAAAGGCTGGGAGTCTCCACTTACCCTTTGCAAACTTTGTTCCCCCTCCTCAGAGCTGAGGATCTTGTTGCTGTGTGGCAGTGACCTGCTGGAGTCCTTCTGCATCCCGGGGCTCTGGAATGAGGCAGATGTGAGTAGCAATGCTACGGCAGCACCACACACAGCTGCCATGGGAAAGGTGGGGAGGGTGCACTGGGTTTCAGCCTCTGGTCTCCCCTCCTCCCTACCGCTTCTCCCCCACCCCCAAACCTGACTCTCCTATCTCCTCTGAGCTCCCAGCAGGACCATCCATTCATATCACTATGGGAGAAAATTCTCACCTACCCCAAGCTTTATCTCTGACTGTATTTTTACAGTCACTCTTCCTGGTGCTTGCTCCTGTAAAGCCCCTGGGAAGAAAGCAATCATCAAATACCTTCTCCAAGTAGTACTTGCAGCGTGGGTGTGTGGCAGAGGCGGTAGGTGGAGGAGGGGAGGAAGGGATTAAAAAAAGCCTTTACCCCTTTGAGGTTATCGTCTGTTTTGTTTTCCTTTGATTCCTTTTGAAGGGGTAGTAAATACCACGCTAGCATTCCCTCAACAAGAAAAAAGGGGGCAGAAGGGGAGGCGTGAATGGCAAAAGGTCAGTAGGATCCTCCTGGAAATTGACCGGGGGTAGAGGGAAACAGGAAGTTAAACTTGTACCACTTAGAAGCTGAATCAGCATCTTTTGTTGCCAGATCTGATGGTGATGGCCATAAACCAGCTAATTCATAAGTTACTCACCCTTCATACATACATTCATTCTTGCTCTTCCATTAATTCATTCATCAGATAACCTGATCTATTGCTACCTCTCAATTCCAGAGCCCTGTGCAAGCTGGATTCTCAAGGCAGTAATTCCAGACCCAGTGCTTTCTTTATTAACTTGTTGCATGACCCCATGCCAAGCACTCAACTCTCTGGGCATCAGTGTTTTCCAGTTTTATTGAGATAGAATTGATATGTAACATGGTATTAGTTTAAGACGTACAATGTAATGATTTGAGATATGTGTATATTGCAAAATATTATCACAGCAAGTTTAGTTACAACTCGGTTGTGTTTTTTAAATCTGTAAATCTATAGAATGCTATCTATCACATTCTAACATTTCAAAAAATATGCAGTACAGTCCCTACCCACAAGTGTCAGGTGGCAAGACATATACCTATGAAATTTTTTTTTCAGGATATATATACAGATATATATATCTCTGGAGAAAGAGAGAGGGAACATTCAAGACCAGACTCAAGATTCCAGTTCTATTCCAACACAGCTCATGACAAAATCCATTTTGAGCCCCAGTTTTTCCCATCTCTAAAATGGTGTAATAATAGTGCCTACCTCATAGGATTTAGGGAAAATTAAATGACAGTGTGTACCTCAAGTGCCTAGCCTAGTGCCTGAAACACAGCTACATGCAACGAACATTCATAAGTGAATTCACCTAAATAGCCTCATAGACATACACATAGGTATTCCAGGTGAAGTGCTGTGGGAGGAACGGGAGGGCAGGGAGAGTTTCCCGGAGGTGAATTACACTGTGTGGGCCTTTCATCTCCATCCCTGGACCATTTCTCGGAGGTGAAATTCTAAACCTTCATTCAGTTCTGGATTAAGTGGCTTAATGAACTTTTACTTTCCTCTCTACTTCACAAGGTGCTGTGAAAGTAGACAGTCATGTGGCCCAAGTTATGTACAAGATCTCAGCAGAGCTCTTTGAAGAATCTAGGCACATCCGGACAGCTGCAGGGGAGTGCATCCCTTGGGGAGGCCTGGGCAGTCCTGGAGGGTGCACTCGGCAACTGGGGGCAGCCTGCAGGGCCGCTTACATGAGCGGAGAATCTCTAGGGCCCCCTCTCAGGGGCAGACCCAGGCTTTGTGGAGCGTGAAACTTACAGCATTTGGGACCCTGGAGGCACAGCCGGTCCCTCTCTGCTCCTCCCAGTTAGATTGCTGATTTCTGGTCCTCTGACTTCTCTCCAAAATGGCTGCTCTTGCGGTTGTCAGATCCGACGTTTGAAGACCGAGAGAAGGAGCCCCAGGTCTCTCCTCTTCCCACTGGGCCCTGGTGCTGAAATGACATGGTGGTTAAGACAAAAAATTGGAGGAACCAACAGCTGTTGATTTACTGGGAATGTGACAGGGAAGGTGGAGCAAGACCCTCATTATTCAGCTGTGCTCCCCCTTGGTTGGTTACTCTGAAGACCCAGAGCCCCCAGCCTGGCTACTCCCAGAGGGCACAACAAGGGGCCCAGCAGGAGCCCATATCTATACTGGCCGGGTGGTAAGAATTCCAGTCCACAGCACAGAAAGCAGGGGTTTGGGTGCTCAAAGCTCACTCCAGAAGGCTTTCTGGAACCTAGGGCTCTACCTCCCCATCCCCACTCAGCCAAGTCCTCTGTCCCCTAATTTAATCCACAGCCAATCTGTGGGGTCCTTAGAATTATGGCACCTGAGGTAGAGGCCAAAAAAAAAAAAAAAAAAACCTCAAGGAGCTGTTTTCTTACATAACGAGTGTGAATCTCAACCCACAAAAGAGGTGTGCTAGAAATATCACCTTTGATTTATTTAAATCAAATTAAAATTCAACTCCAAATCTATCCCACAGCGTTGATGGGAAGTTAGTCTCAGTTATTATGTTAATGATTAGTAGAACCTGAAAGGCTTTGGTGGACCCCGAACATGAACATTAGTTCATCAGGTTCCCCGCAGACATCGTCCCTGTCTGGACCTTTGTGGTCACTTGAAGGTGGTAACGTTCTGCAGGGCTCATGGCTGAGTCTGGAAGTCCAGCGCTGGGTCTCACCTGCCAATGATAACCAGGCCCCATTTTCTTCTGAAGTTTTGCTCCTAGGAGGGAGCAGGGAGGAGGGAGTAGCTCCCACAGACCTCTAGCTTCTTTCTAGAAGTGGGGGTACGGTGGGCAGGGAATAGCAGAACCTCTTCTTTCTATTCTACAGGTATCTTTCCTATTTTCTCTCTTCCTCGGGATACCTGGCAAAATCTCTTCAGTGAGTTTAAAGCCACTGACTGCAAAACGTTGTTTTCTGCTCTGCAAATTAGAGAACCAGGTCCAGTAAAGGGTCTGGTCCTCTGCTAGAAGTGGGGTTGGGTTGGGCAGAGGGGGATGTAGGGAGGACAAAACTAGTTAATAGCTCAGTGGATTACTCCACTGGCCTTGTTTGAGGATGGTTGGATCTCAGGGTCTAGAAAAGGAAGGTCTTACTTTCAAGACAGGGTACAGGGTGAGTCCCGCTTACTCTACTAGAAAGTTCTGTCATCTGGAGTTTGCCTGGAAGGACTCTATTTTAGGGTTTTCAGTTCCTAACATGAGAATACCAGGTATGAGGTTTGTGAGACCTGCTTCTATCCCAGATTTCATTCCTTCATTCATTCCTTCATTCATTCAAGCCTTATCAGAACACATTGTTCTTCATTGCCTGGTATCCCAAGTTATATTTGTTGACCACAGACCTCCGTTTAGTGATCATGAGCCCAAACCCCTGAATCTGCCCATGACTGGGAACAGGAGGTGGGGAGGAGAGCCAAGCTCCTTGGGAAGGTTATAGGCCCTGGCTCCACACCCAAGCCTCCCCTATCCTTCAGACGCCTCAGGATTCTGAAGGCAGGAGAGAAGCCACTAGTTCAGACAGGTCTGGGGAGAAAGGAGACTCTCCACCCTGCTGTAAAGAAAGCTCAAAGGGGTCTGTGGAGCAGCTTTGCCCCCATCCAGGCTGGGAAGAGGCTCATTTGATCTGTCCTGCAGCAGCACTACCAAGGTGTCCTCCAGCCGGGTCACAATTTCTATTCTCTTCTCCGCTGAATCCATCTAGTTCTTTCAATCGGGATTCCGGAACCAGGGCTCTCCACCCAGAAATCTAATCACACAGCTAAAGGAACAACCCCACCTCCTAACACATCCCTTGGGCATTTCCTATTAGGCACAAAGATCCATTAGCCCACAGTGAATTCTGACCTCTGACCAATGACACACCCTTCCCCTTACATTCCAGGGGAGAAGATTCCATACATATTCATCAAGTTTCTCTCCATGGAATACAAAAGAACTGCTTGTGCAGCCTGGCAGTTGGCTTTTTCATTCTTGGTTCCTGAGAGAATTCAAGATCCAGGCTCCTGGGCCAGCCTTGGGGATCAGCACTCATGTTCCATAGCCCCATAGCCCCATAGCCACTGAGCCCATCCCATCCCTGAGTTTTTATTACAGAGCTCGTCTACCCTTAGGGGACCTGATCTTTGCTGTGCCACACCCAGGCATCAGCACCAAAGCAGGTATCCAAGCATGGACCAGGATCTGTGGGAAGTCAAGGCCAAAGGATAGACGGTGACCAGGAAATTTGTGACCAGGAAATTATACTCACTCCCTTCCCCCAAAAAAACCCATTGTCTAGGGCTCTTATGCTGTCAGCTTCTTTGTCCATCATATTATGATGGAAGGCAGTCTGGCAAATTAATTCCAATTTAAGCATTCTTTCCTTCAATCAATCTTGCAGTGAATACTTACTGAGTGCCCAGTACTAATATAAGTATGCTATTTGTCCTTAAGGCACTTGCAGTCTAAAAATATCTTTTTCATTATATCAGTTTTTTGTATTACATAAAATAAAATCGTAAAAAGTTTAGAAGAGTTCCTGAACCTCGTAAGCACTCAATAAATGTTGGTTGTTATTCATCTATTGGTTTTAAAATATTCATTGGGTACCTACCAAGTGCCAGACATTGTTCTAGGGCCGAATGAGCAGAGAAAACAAAATAGCCAAAGTTCCCCACTGTGTGCACTTTACTTTCTAGTGAGGGAGCTACACATAAACACTTCGACTGTTTTTCATGGATTAGTGCAATCAACCCCTAACACACTTCTGTGAAGGGGAATCTCTATTCACATGTACAGGTGTGAATGCCAGGGCTCACATGGATTGTGACTTGTCAAAGACCACATAGCTGTTAAACAGCAGAGCCCAACTTCACACAAGTCATCAGATCCCTAATCCATAAAAGACAGACAATGAGAAGAATTATATATATATATATATATGTGTGTGTGTGTGTATATACATATACATACATATGTGTGTGTGTGTGTGTGTG